CTACTATAACCCACTTATCTTATATATTTATAACAACTTTAAGACTTATACTACACAAGTCTCTTGGCTAATTAATCTAAAACATCAAATATATAATAAGCTTAGCTCATACTGTTTAGTTCTTGCCTATATAGATGTCACTCTTTGGATTGCATCCTTATAACAAGAACTATCACAAATCTTTTTTACAGCTAAATCATTCTTTAACATGGCTAATATACAAATTAATCCTTTTAAATTAGTACTTACAACTAATAATAAATAATCCAACTATACTCCTATTACATATAATAACTATTTCCTTAACCTTTATCTACCAAATAAACTATTCAAATTTCTTGGATATTGGTTTATACTTAATAACAAACAAACCAAACAAACTAAACAAACCAAACTTATTACTTCAGAATCATTACATCTTGTCAAATTGCAAGCACCAAACAAATTGCTGATACATATATATATTACATTATCAATACTGTCATTATTCCTACAATCAAATACCATCTTCACAACATTGTTCTTAACTAATACACATGTAACAAAATTCTTACAAGTCATATAGGTCTTGTAAAAATAAAGCTAAACTTAGTTGCACAATTTCTACTAGCACATTACTTCACCTTTAGCTATACAATATTCATAACATATAAGATATTCAACTACAATATCATATTACAAACTTTATCAAGAGACTTAATTCTTCTGATTTATTAGATATAAGTATTCACATTAGGTTTCAACAATTTTAAAACAACTTGTGGTCATCTACTAGTATTCAAATACATGACAATTCTATTATTGATAGGTCTAACAAACACACTATTAACTTTAAAATTATTCAACTTTTCAAACATCCTAGTATTATATTTACATCTAATTCATTATACAATATTCTATATATTGTTCAAAAAGGATCTATTTTACTTGAATTACTACTTTTATCATATTCAAAATATTTAATATTTAAAAAACAACTTCAATACTATTGCATTCTTTATTTAGATTAACTAACTATATTTGATAACTTAAGTTTTTAGATTGAAAATGCATATCTATATGCTTGAACAAAATTTTAAAGATAAACAACCACTCTGGTTTAACTATCTAAATTATCAAACTACAAGCTACTTATACAATTATACTCTTTATCAACATATATATTTATCTAATACAGACTATTATAGTTATTCAACTGAACACTTTTCTTTATGAAAAAAACTATGGCTTATTATAGTACTTAACAATCAAATCATTACTAGCAAAGTCAAAAAACAACCTTCTTCTTTAGGAACTATTTTTATTACTCATTAGCAATGTCATATAGAACAGCAATTTACTTATCTATATTTACTTCTACCTATTCAATCATATGCATACTCAGGCTGCTTTTTTGACTCTTATATAATTACCAATAAATGTACAATCAATATTCATATTAATCTTACTTCTAGATTTTTTGATCAAGTTAATACATATAACAAAACTCTTAACTTCAATGCCAATCAACTCAATCTTATATACTCTATTGCAATTTGACATTTGATTTAAATTCTTAATATGCCTAATATCAACATTATAACAAGCTTAATTCTAACCATATTTGAACCTGGCACTATAACAAACAATCTTTAACAAATTACTAATTACAATGCACAATTATCAGAACTTCATTTTTATACTGATAGTTCAATCATTAATCTAAGTATCTTACAATGTTCTATGGACATTAGATAGGCCCAAATCCTGAACAACAATATAGTATATATATTTCAAGTTCAAACAAGATATTGGCCTTGCTTATTTAAGTCTGAGCTTACTATTATTTTATCAGCTTTTATTACTGCTCTGAGAAACTATACTAACACATATATACTGATTTACAATCTATAATCTCCAAATATCACAGCCTTTCAAACTTAACTTATATCCTATCTTATATATATATATCATATTTCTTATTATAGAACATATTCATTAACTTTGTCAAATCATACAATATCTATATTATTTTTTATAAAATTACTGCTTATCAGAATGATTAGTACAATAACCTTGCAGACCAACTTGCATGCAGTTATCACAATTTGCCATATCTTACCTTTATGCCTTACAATATCTACAACTCTGCATATACATTAAACTTTGAAAACTTTTCTTTAAAATTACTTACTCATAACAGTATCTATACAATATATCATGTACATATTTACACAATATGAATTATTCAAAACTGTTTTCAAAAATGACACAAAATCCTTAACTAAATTAATTAGCAAGCTACCTGGCTTTATATCAACAACAATCAAAAAATCTCAAACTTCTCATATATTTTTAGTTCTTCACTCTTAAATCCTTCAAAATTAAAATTTTACTAAACAATCTTCTTACTCTATATATTCTACACAAATAATACTACTCATACTTACCTATTTGTCATTATTGTCACCAAATTAGTTTTTACCTTTACTGAATAACTTGCCCATCCAATTAACTATTATACAGTCTTATTGACATTTCATTACAACAAAGTTTAAATACTAAAACACTTGATATTATATCAAATACTATAACTAATTTGTACAACCAATTCGAGCTATTGAATAATATGATTATTCACAGTATATCAGACTTACTTTCAATCTTTTTAGCTCTAACAGATCTAATACTGAATAAACTTATTAACATTATTGCAATTTGATCATTCAAAAGAATAGGTACAATACTTATAATTAAGTTCTTACTTTATCTTAATTAACAAATCTATTACAAAATTTGGATCTCATATTTTATCTCAAGATCTACAACCCAATCTTCTGAATATAACATATCTTTAAATGCTGTCTTACTTTCATTACACTTACTTCTACTTAATTCCATTAGTTCAAAAATACACTCTTAATATATCTAATATATTAAAATCAAACTAATCTCCTATACATAATTACTAATACTCAAATATAGGTGAGCCTTGACCACTTCAGTTGGTTTAGGTTATAGATAAATTAGTCTGAGCTTTTATTCTTTCTATAATATTTTAAAAACAGAATTGTACTTTATATAAAATCTTAATTATATATTTAATAAAGATGAAAGCATGGTCTCACTATTAATATTAAAAAAAATTAATAATAATTAACATTGTACTTTATCCTTAAGCTTATTGTATTAATAAATAAATATATTATATTAATAAGTTTATTAATTTAAATTTTTTAATATAATAGACTAATATTAGAAAATTAATAGTTAAAATATTTAAAAACAAACATTTAAATATTATATAAATAATATAATAATAAATAATATAATTAATATAATTATTAATAAATGTTTATAATGTAAATTAATAATATAATAATTATTTTTGTTATTTATTTCTTTTAAAATTTCTTTTTTGGAAAATAATTTTTATTAAAATTATATTATTAAAAACAAAACCAGGTTTCAGAGTTGCTTTAACTCTATATCTGCTCTTATCTATAAGTTTTACAACAATGTTCTTAGAACAAGTAATATGATTGTATATTGATTGTATTTTGTAGAATATAAAAACCAAACCATCTATCTGAAACATTGTTATAATAATGCAGAATCAGGAGCAATAATCATTTGTTGAGATAGATCTGCCAAATTAAGCTAATTGTTTGTAATATTAAAGACCATTCAAGATCGCAATTATAACAGCAGATCTGAAACTATTGAAATTGATAAGAAAATATTTGATTTTGAGTTTCTTTCTTATTTCTTTTTATAAGGTACCTTTTCCATGATATAATGTTTCATAACATTTGATATTATAAATGATAATTTATTATATTTTTCTTGTTCCTGTGATCCATATATCAAATCCCTCTCTAATAATATAAATATATAAACATATTATAACTAACTATATATGCACCTTTGATGTCTAATTTAATTAAATTATCTATATATTACTATATAAGTTTTACACTAAATATTATCTTTGCAAGTCAACCATGAATCTTGCTTATTTAAACTCTTTGCATATGCCATCCATCTTGTATTATAAAACATCTTTTAAGCTAAGCCTATTCAAAATTTTGACGTTCGTTAGTACCCTTAAGAATATTTTATTCTCAACAGAAGACTTATTAAAACTTTCTATGTCCTACACGCAACTAACCAAGTTTCACTACTTTATAATTACTGTAATTTAATTAAAGAAACTTATATTTATATAATGTTATATAACACCTTATGCAATAACTCAAAAATGTACTAAGTAAACGGGATCGAATACTCTAAGTAAAACATGTTCAGGACCCCAAAAACCTCACGAAATCGGAACCTATCAGAACATTATATCTAATATATATTGTATAATAAAAAACTCTTATCTTAAAGCCGGATCTATATAACCTGGGTGTTATGAATATAATATTCCTTAAAGAAATTATTTGCCCACTTTTATTACATTGATTGTGATTCAAGAATGACCACGCAATATTATTTCCAATAAAAAATAGGGGTTTTTCTTCTCATTCCTGAGTTCTTAGGTTTTTTTTTTGCATTTCAAACCATTAACCATTTTCCCGATTTGTTTAAATTTGATTAAATGTTTTTTTAATTATTTGTTTGTTGAGGAAGTTCGGACGACTTCGAAGGCATTCCTTATACAACGTGCGTTTATTCATACACTACTAAAATTAATATACGTTATTAAGTCCTCATCCTCCATTTTCAAGCGTAAAATTTAAAGATTACAAAAACAGAGTATCTATTATACACAACTATAATCAATTTTTATTTTAAATACAACCAAAAAAAAATCTCATTATAAGAATTAAAAAAAAAATTCAAAAGGTTAATGATGGTTAATAAATTTATACAAAATATAGGGCTAAAATAAACCTTTTTATATATGACTATATTAAGAAAATTATGACAAAGTAAATAAAAATTTTAGCAGTTAAAGAAAACGAAAATTAATGAAATGAAAAAAATCATCAAATTAAGGAATAAGTAAATGCGATCTATGCGAAATAACGAGGATAGGTATCGTCATATCGATGACCACGTATTCCTTCATTATAAAACATTTCAGGAAATCGCATTGAGGCTGGATAATAATCCTTTTGAACTTGTTTATTCAGATCAACATTTGAATTATCATTTGAATTATTATCATTTGAATCGTTGACCACAAGGAATTTACCAGCTTGAATTTCAGTATCAGTAATATGTCCATGACTAATTCGTGCAAATGAAATTCTTTTTAGTCCACGGAATCCAATGTATTCACACCATCTAGACATCTCAGATGGATCAATATCATTTATGTGACCATCATCAAAAAGGATATTATAAATATGTTGAAATGGTTCAGTTACAACATAACCCAAGAATACGAACGGGTTAGATGATTCACGCATTATTCGAGCCAATTCAGTAGTTTGTAATTCACGATCTAATAAATTCTCTTCTTGACCATTATGACTAACAATAAAATCAACATTTTGTCCATAAATATTCAAAGTTGCATGAATTGCACAAGCAAGTTCACCAACTGGAGAAGGTAAAAGATGATGAGTCGAATTTATTATAGGGAATTTTGAAAGTATGGCGCAGCCCCAAGTGTGCTTGGCTGGTCCTGGTCCATAATCTACGTAATAACCTAAATCTTCAGAAATATACTGCCATAAATCTCTATTACCCATGATAATACGTTGAGTATCGGATTCCAATAAACCTGAAATAACAAATGAAAAATTAAATGGAAAATTAAATGAAATTGTTTTTTATTAATATCATTCAAAAAAAAAAATAAAATAAAAAATGAATTTTATTTATAAACATACCAATAACATCAAATTCTAAATCCCTTATGGCGTCTTTAATACGTACTTCCGAAGACCACATATCATTATCAAGGGTGAAATGAATTGTCCAGATACCAGCCGTAAACATTTTATGTTCTGGTCTATAAGGAACAGGAGTTTTCGCAGATTTAAATCTAACAAATGAGACAATAATACTAAGAAAAATAATTCCAAAAATAGCAATACGAATAAAATTTCTAATAGATCTGATTTTTTTAAGTTGATAATTATTAATAATACTAGTAGTATTAAGAACACCTAAACCAATGAATGTCATCATAAATATTAAAATCCAATTTGTACGTTCACGAGCTAATGGACCACCAGGAACAAATTCGTAAGCAACAACCCATACATGTGCAAGACAAAAAATATTGTAAACCATCATGGTTGTAAATAAAGTTCGACCAGGGTTGTGGAGCATTGCAGATCTAATTAAATATGGAGTAATAGCCATAAAATATGCACCAAGAACAAGACCAGCGTAATATCCAATCCAAGAAGGAATAAAATAAACAATTATACAACTAAAGCATCCAACTAAATACATTAGAAAACTTGTTGATAATTTTGCATTAGTTGATATTAATAAGCCCATTCCCATCGCTAAAATGGTAATAAAACCCCAAGAAATTGGATCTGGACCGTAATTAGGATAACCATCAACAACCCAACGCATGATAGTAGAAGAATCAGTAAACATGGAATGCAGCCCAAACATGACTGCACCAAGACTTAATGATGCTGAAACCCAACTAGATTTGATTTTTGAAAAATTATTCAATAGTTTATCTGATGACTTGTTTTTTCCATCAATAAAATCACGAATAATTAATCCTATACAAGCAAAAATTCCAAGTAATAATCCAATAAAGTTTTTACCACCATTAAATTCATGCATAATAGGCCATATAGGATTATTTGAGTACCAAGCCATTTTGATGACATTATGTAATAAAAGCCCAAGACTCCAAACAGATATATCATATTCTAATTGACTATTTTTCGAACGATTTCCAAACCAAGTAGCAAACCATGTTAAAAGACTAATACCTATTCCAAATGAAGATAATACGAGTCTATAAACAGGATCTTTGAATGTATAAGATGCAATACCCATCAATGATAATAAATGGAAAAATCCACGATATTTGAAAACAATTTTGCGCATAAAATCATATGCCAAAAAAACCGGAGTAATAGTGACAAGTAGAAAAACTTCAAAGCCTGAAATACCCATGTGCCATAATGGGAAATACCAGATTAATAATGCCAGAGCAGTAAGCATTGACCAAAAGACGAATGCTATAACATAGATAATTATAAAAAATTAGTGGATGTATGTATGATTACTATTGCATAATACAGGTATTAATATTTCAGATCAACATACCAAGGTAAATGTCAGAAATAAATGAAATAATTTTGGCGGATATACGAACGAATCTTGACAAGGAACTTTCATTTGAAGTGTTAACATAAATGAAAACATATCAAAATTAGCGCAAATGTCTCGTACTCAATATAGACAGAAAAGAACAACTTTCAAATATATTTTAAATCGGTGCTCTAGTCAGCAATTAATGTCAATATAATACATGACTTTTACATAAATGAATGTAACTTAAAAGTTAAGGCTCACCTTAGTTTTTTATCAATTAATGATCTAGAATAATTTTAATAAAATTGATGTAACATGATTTATTAGAATAAAAGTATATACATAAACGTGGTATTAAATAGTTAATCCAAGTAAGATCATAAATAGTGTAAAAGCGTAAATATTATCTGGATTATCTTACACCCAGAATGATAATTAACTTAGAGAACTTTTTCCATGACAAGATCGTACCCTGCATGATTTCCAGAAATTGTGGACGTGCCAGAGACATCTACGATGGCCAATCGAAAGTTCTTAAAATCAAAGGAAGTAATAGCATCAAAAGCAATGTCGTATAGGATGAGAGACCATTCAAAAAATGAATAGTATGTATAAGCTTGATCATAACCATGGAAGAAAATTTAAGAATTCCTTGATGTTAAATATAAAATAATAATAATAACAACACTTATGATGATGATGATGATGATAGAAAATTAGAGATACCAGTTTTGACTCTATGAATTTTATGTTGAACGAAAAAATAGATCATAGGTACTAAAGTTGAAAAAAATGCGATACAGAGCCAACGTCGATATTTTAACGAAGTAATATGAGAAGTCCGTGGCGTAGTCGAAAGCACACCAAGCATCCATGGTAGAGTGCAAACCAAATAAATAATCATGGCAATATCATGAATGTCATGATCATCCGAAGAAGTAATATAGACCCATCCGCCGCATGAAACAGTTCTGATTATACCAACAGCTAGAAGAAACTTTGCAAAACCAAGAGATCCAGTAGGACATGATTTTGTAATGAGAAGAAACCACAAGAATACCAGTATAAACCGGGGCCCTTAATCAAAAAGAAAAAGATTTTGTAATTAGAAAATTTTTATGATTTCATTTCATTGATGATTTCTTTCGTGCTTGACATTTGCTTGAAGTTACCAATTTAGGCGCACTAAGAAAATTAACCCCTGAAATTAGATCTTCCTTGCACGCGTTAGTTAGTAATTTTAGGCAGTTACAACTTCAAGCAGATGCCAACTTCCAGCACGACAATTTCATTTGATTGCTTTTTATGACCTTACCAGAATTTAATGCAATAAAAATTTGAAAAACAGCTCGTTCCGGATACCAATCACCTGTTGTGGCACTTACACTAGGAAACCATTCCTAGTAATAATTTATATCAACAAAAGCAATTAGTTCATAAAATAAATACAAAACTTTAAATGAATAAATGAGTAAAAAACAATTTATAGATACATACATCAGGATAACCATAAAATTCATTTTTTACGATCTTACGATAATGTGCATAACATCCCACAAACAAGGCAAACAAAAATGCACCTAAAAGTAATAAACAATTGCCACCTTAGCAACATGGATTGCTTGCTGAATGTTTTCATATTATACTACTTCATGATAATTCACGATAATTCCCAATAATTCATGGTAATTATGGAACGTAAACTTACAATATCCCAAAACAGTGTGAGCATGAGATACAAATGTGCCAGAAATCTAACAGTCATTAATAATAAATTAAATTAAGTAATTTGGAAATGGATGAAAACGCTTAATATAATTAATTGAAATAATTAATACCCACAGAAGTTAAGAAAACTGTATCTCCATTATATTTCTTAGCGGCACGCGAAGGCATGGCTCCTAATAGCTACAAAATAAATAAATATATATATACGTAAATACTTATAATAGTATACCACCAAAGAGAAGAATTAATGAATTTTTTAAAGTAAATTAAATTACTGTGCAATAACTATAGATGGTACGTTTGAAATAATTGGGATGAGAAAGAACAATTGATTTTCGCGATAACGATCAGATTTAAGAATTATTGAAATAACAAATAAAGTTAGGATAATTTTTTGTGCTTCCTTATTAAAATTCATTAATATCAACTATATTTGGGATTTGTCGATTTGGGGACTTGTGGGGCGCAGTTATTTACCAGAGTGATGGATTGAATGGATATTTGCTAGAGATGACAAATACAGAAATACTGGTGTAATTAGTAAATTTCAACACGAGCGACCCCCAAGGGGGGATCTTCACATCAATTTGAAGATCAGTACACAATGGGAAAAAATTTTTTTTATACGTAACGTTTTGCAAATTTTTTTTTTCTAGAAACTAAATGTAACAATTTTTTTTCTAGAAATTAAAAGTAACCATTTTTTTCTGGAAATTAAAATTTTACGATGAAAGTAATACGGGTATAGAATGTTAATCTATGTAAATCTTTTGAAAAAGATGTAACCATTAATATATTTTTTTTAACAGAAATTATAAAATGCACCTATGATGTTATGGTTTTACTAAAATTCAGGGTTAGGGCGCAACTACAGGCTAATACAGGGGTCATATATAATTAGTTAGCATATGATTTAATTAATTAGAGTTTTTGAAATACAGCAATTATTATGTTAAACACCTATGATGCATTTTAGTAATACGTACCTCAATAGCGGCGTTGTTGCATTATATTCTTTAGGTATTAATAATTAGAGTTAGTTAACAAATAAACGAATTCATAAAGTATTTCTCGCCTATCAAAATAAGTTAGTTCATTTTTTTTAAACTCTAATTTTATATTTTTTCGAATTTTGTGTAATCGGGATGGTTTCATCTAGTCAGGTAGTATCGTATAGTATTTCAAATTCTCGCAGAAACATGTGATTAAAAATGACCAATTATCTTAAAAGTATTTCTCAAATATAAAATACTTCATCATCTAGACTACAAGTTATCACTAACCCTAAGCCGAGTTATTAATAAAGTCAGTATAATTGCTTTCACAAAATATGATGTATTATTCATAGAGTAAAATTTAAATTTATTCCCACTAGGAATAACTTTGAGTTAATGAGTTAGTACGTACAGTAACCCTACTTTCTTCTACGTAATACCATATACTTGATATATTTAATGCATGAATACGCCCCTCACCAAATTTAGTATTAATTTGGAAATTAGTATGTAATATGGAAATAAAATTCGTTATAACGGTTAAATTTTTTAACCGATCCAAAAAAAAGTCTTTCTTACTGTTTTTTTTCAGCTTTCAAATCCGCGAAGAACGAATGAATTTCTAAATTGACTCTGAAGTACTGAAAGAAAGAAAACCAATTTTATTATTTAAGTAACTTTTTTATTTTAAAATATCTAAATTTATAATTTTACATATATAGTTCTTTTTAGGTTAGAACTTTAGCATTCTAAAGCAAAATAGGTAAAGCCGAAGAATCGTGTGTCGATCGTAACCAAAAAAGAGCCAGATGCTCAGCTTACTAATTCTCGAATTCGATTTGTTAACTAGTACGAAACCAGCATAGCGGGCTTTTATTGTAATTGGCTGATCATCCCGTGATATTGAAATTATTTGCAAGACAAATTTTATACTGTACGAAACTATATTCTGATATAATTAATAATTGAACATTTATTACTACTGTATAAAATCAAATTGGTATTAATTAACGCATTACTACGAGATCTATTAACTCAAAGTCTAAACTATCATCCCGATACAAAAGAATCTAAGATCTTATTTTAAAAAAATACTATTACACCTTTTTTTTTTAATAAAAAAAATTGTACATAAAAAGCACAAAAAATAGATAAAAAAACATAGACTATTTATTTTAAAAGACTATAAGAATCATATAAATAATTTTTTAATTGTATATGATAATAACACTATGCTTTAATAATAGACGTAACTATATTTTAACCCTTATAAAGTTCGCAAGCTCATGTTCTTATTACTTTACATCACTAATCTATTTACTGGCAGTACGTGTCTGTCTTTAGAAAAATAAATAAGCTATAAATAAAATATATTAGTGTTGTAAACTTTTGAAAAATGACTTATTTTACCCAAGTTTAATACATTGTAAATTATATTGGTTAAATTGAAACGCCTAAACATGCCTCCATCTAACTTCCAAATTACCTCGTCAATTATCAACTTAGGTATGTTATAGAGCCGAAGGTGTAGTTTCTAAATTTTTATGTTGTAACCCCTGCGAATTCGTATTCGTGGCCGTAAAATCTTTTTTGTCCACTCTTGTGATAGTAAATCGGTACTTTAATAAGACTTTATTATGATGAAATGATAAAGCCCGCTATGCTTACGAAACTATGAAAACTATACATATACGTACACCAAGAACGAATGTAATGAGTGTATGGATTATATGTTGTTTGAAGTGGTATTTGTCCGCGAAATCTTAAGTTTGATTGGTCTACATGATTTATAATTCATCACACATATAGATCAACGGAAATACACATGCATTCGGATATGTAATTACGGGTAATCCGATACAGATTAATTGTGTCTATTTTACCTGATATTTAACATTTTTCATTTTTTTTCATAGTATTTTTTATTGGATGATAATCAATGATCGTCAAAGGCAATAGCAAAATAAATTTTCGGATAACCTGTAAACTTTTGTTTGATTAGCTAATGCGAATCAATTGCCTATAACGTATTTCAAATGTATTGTTATTCGGCAAATCGGCGAGTCTGTCGCTAATTCCTTCCAATCCTCGTGTAACCTACGGCGGCTTAATCGAAATAGGTATGTTAGATTTGGCTGGGTGGTTTATCCGTAGGTAAGTACTATTCTTCTCTTCTAAGTCCTTCCTTTAACCTATTCTTCTATTAACCCTTTGCTTCCTCTTATCTTCCTTCTACTTCCTTAACCTGGGGTTACGATACGTCGAATCGGGTTGGAGTCCTTCTCTTGCGTTAACGACTTGGTCACGTGATTTACGGCGAACGATCAAAATGCAGTTTAGTGGGTGTCAAATAGACGAACGATAGGGACAACGATGGGTTTTAACGATAGTTTTCAGTTTGGGTTAGGTTATAGTTTTACTTTCAATATAGGTCCGATACTTAAGTTTATTTTAGCAAATGTATTGACTTGGGGGTATCGCAGTTACTTTCCCCCTGGGCGGAAGACCCTTTATTTATAATAAAACTATTGTTTACATTCGAGGATAATTTCCTCTACATTATCTATTTACAATATACCATCCTTAAAACCCCTTTCCTCACTATAATAACTAAAAACCGAATGTCCCATATACCGTCGATCTACCCGAAGTAACCAAAGTAATAAAAGTAATAAAAGTAAGATTTCTCTTACTTTTCATGTGACCAGTTACTCGGGTAGGCGACGGACCTAATTCGACGATCGGTCACGTGTGACCGTGACAACGTATGAGATGCTAGATCTGTTTTTGTTTGTATGTTACTTGGATTATTTGTTAACTATTGACACGAACTATAAGGTCGGGAACGGCACTACTAGGACAAGAAGGAATGCGACGAATTGTCGCGGTTTCGATTTGGCACTGGTCAAAAGCGGTCTTTGAGAGTGTTACAAGGGAATTCGAATGTTAGTGTAGAACGGGTTAAGGAGAGTATTTTATTTTGGTTTGGAACAATTTAGAATTTTTATTAATTTATTTTTGGTTTATTTATTTAGGGCGGGTCTATAATCTAAAGGTGATTTTGGTCTTCTGTTACGATACGATACCATATGATACGATACAAGACAATTTTTTATACAAGAGAGGGAATTCGAACCATATTTATAGAGAATTTACAAGAGAAAAAGAAGGGGGTTCGAACACTGCTTGGGCACCCTTTTCTCATTGTCATATGCCGTTTTATCCTTATTTGCTTACATTTTTCCCTTTTTTCTACAAGCCATCTTTCGTTACTTTAGAATTTTTCATTGAATTTTTCAATCCTCTCACAACGAAACACAACCCAACATATGACGACGCATTGACACGGCCACAGACTTTACCTGTCAAGGTAATATTACCTTGACAGATGTATTCAAATCGGGCGGGTGGCTTTTCTTCAATGGGATATGCGCTGTCACTTAATGGCGAACCTGATTTATCCTGGGTCGCGGCATCGTGGTACGACGGTTTTTCATGGTGCATATCGGGTGTCGTTACACGTTTATTCCTCATGGTCCTAGGGTTGGATTTACCCATACCACTATCATATTTGTTTCGTTCATGGTTTCTAGCGCGACTACGTCGCGCAGCTACCTTATAATAAATTATAACATATCAGGCACTCGATATGTCACATGTAGAATTTTTAATATAAGATCGAATGATTGACATACCAAAATTTCATATGTAAAAATTTGCTTTTTCGACTTATCTAATAAAAGTTGCCTGAGTATCATTTGCAAATTCTCTAGCATTTGAAGGTTCTTCTTATCGAATTTTAAAGGTAAAGCCACCCCAATTTAACTCAGTTGTTTACATCCCCCCCCCTCATAGTAAAAAAAAAAATTAGTAAATAACATAAAGATTACGTGTCATTACGGAAAAATTTATATTGAACGGAACATTTCGGGAAAAAATTTTTTTAAAAAAAAAATTTCGAAACTTTTACTATGTGAACCCCTTGAAAACCCTTTTCCCTCCTTTTGAAATGGAAATGTAATGTAAACCACCGAATTAAATTAGGGTGGCCTAATTGAAAATAAAATAGAAAAGAATGCAGCCCTAAAGTTAGTCGATTTGTTTATGATTTTTATAAATGATGTACCAAAGCCAGGTACCAATTAGGGTTACTTTTGATGCAATTAAGGTTAG